ATGCCCCTTAGTTTTCTGGGAATTAAGTTTAAACCACGCGGTCAAAACCCGTGCGGTCCCACCGATCTCAACCTCTTTAAACTGGACTTCGTTCTATCAAACTGCAGCACTTAGATAACTTATGCAGGTCTGTAAATGCCATTTGGTTATTTGCTCCCATTAACCCGACCTCCACATGGGTTCAGCAACAGAGACGAAGCCAGGAGTCACCAAGAAAAATGTGTGCGCAAAGGATAGTAAAATAGTATAGGTACTCTTACCACGGGCGTGGAGGATTTAAGCTATGAAATCGGTAATCTAGGCGTCCGTTTCCAAGCTAAACATACCAGTGAACTTGTAGTGGTCTGGCTACCCAATTAGTTGCTTTACCAGAAGTGTGGGGCAAAGAAATAGATGGGGTATACAATAACAAAGAGGTCAGATGGAACAGACTCAGTAATAGTTGCTCTCTTTAAAATAGTTCGTCGCTGGCCCAGGTGAGCGAATAAGCAATATTACAATTATGGTGGTCCAGGGGTCTTCTACTGAACAGTTTCCACATATAATGGATTCCGAAGTTGGTCTAAAATGTCTTGATACCAGAGTTAGCACATAAGACTCGCGAATGACCGCTACAAGCGCAAACGTAGTCAGAAAAGAGAGTCGAAGCACGTGAAAACGTTCGCATTGCGTGAATTTTTGTACAAGTGCGCGTTTCTGTAGCTTTTTCGTATTAAAACAAAAATGATCATGCAACTGACGGAATAGGTAGTGTTACAATGAAAGCAAAATGTGGGTGCAAAACACCAAAACTTCATCGGTTTCAGGAAGGACAGATTCCTGAAAACAACTCACGAATGTCCGGATACCAGTAGACCCTAAAACCATACCGATTACTCGACAGAGAACCTGGCAATCATCCAGGTTAGTCAATTATTCAATCAATTCAGCACAAGTTGATGCGTGTTGAGGCATGTCATAGAGGCCCGACTGAACATGATAAGTGTTCAGGTATTTTGTAGGAGCACGGTCGAAGTTTAGGTTTGTTCAATAAACGCCGATCAGGTACCTTGAATATGGAAGCGCCATTTAAATGGCGGAAGGCCGTTGTAACGTTTGCGCTAGTTGGTTGCGATAAAGCTTTGTGTTCTTTGTCGTGGAGTCTTTTCCCGACACTGAGGCACTGGAGCAGGGACACCAGCCAGATACAACAAAAGAAACAGCCTGCTTTCCACGCGACATAAGGAGGCCTATAAGCAACCAAGAGTTAACCTTAAAACTGCTATTACAAAACCGTAAAATAAATCCGGCGCAACAATTTTGGGACGAGAAGAATTGGGAAAGAAATTGCAGTCAAGTCCTAATGTTGACACGAAATTCTAACTTTTGGTAAATGAGAAGGATAATGCTCAATCGGTCTAAAGTGAGCTGGACAGATGTGTGTCCAGAATGAAGAATAAGAGTTTCTCCACTTCACAGCAGTATAAATAGATCATGTCTACGAAGACATATTCCTCACCTCTCTGGGCTACTTTAAGTACATAAAAAAGCAGATATCTTTTTAGACCCTATTTTTGAAGCGTACAACTCGGTACACACCTGTATATTCAAACGTTTACGTTGTGCGGAATCGGTTATGATAGTATAAATTACCCATTCCACCTCGCTGACAATGCGGCTACCAAACTGGATAGTAGAAGTGACAACGGCGGAAGTAACTCAGAAGGATTACAACGCACACTGACAAGGCTTGTGTGATTTCATTCCAGCACTGTTTTCTTGTGGTTCCAACTGACTGGTCCAAGTTAGAGGCAGGTGAGGTATTGGTGGTTTACCAGCGGCGCAGAATGAAAATACAAGAACTTACATACGAATGAAAGAAACAGAAAGGGGCGATTAATGGGCTAATTAAGCGTAACGCAGTGTCCGGGATGAGCTAATAGGTGAACTGTTCACTGCCATAAGTAAAGCAAAACTATGGATGGGTGACACCTCTTAAAATACGGACAGGATTATGGTTGATGTGGGTAGCAGGGAAAGAAGGGTACGTGATTGGAAACGACAAGGTTTTTGGTGAAAAGGTCATCGATTTTTCCGGAACACAGCGCTAAGATTCTGGTACAACTTTGGTAGTCAAATGGGCCGGAGGTATTTCCGTTACTACGGTTGGGCTGCCTTTGTGCTCTGTCGTATGTATTACACGGTTAACTGTGGCGGACTAGGAAATTGTCAGTGCGTTTGAACAAATTGACAAGCAAAGTAACCAATACAAAATCACAAAATCACAGTAATAAAAAAATGAGTAGGCAAATGAGGACTCACGAATACGTAGATCCAGTATTCCACTATACCGATCCAAATGCAGTAACAGGCTGTGAAAGGAATATTCACTCGTAGAACTTTTTCACAGATGATTCACGTGTGAGTGATATATTCCACGATAGAGTTATTCACGGCTGAAAAATGTCACGGTGATTTAATATGACGTTCAACGTTTGACGCAAACACAGAGATCTGGTCCCACTAGTTCAGCAGTAAGAAAACAATCCAACTGAGCGTAAATACACTCGTTCAGCAAAAAGTCAGCAGGCCACACCGGAGAATTGTGCATTCGTAACAATGGAACAAACGTCATGATAAAATATGTACGACAGTAACAAAGTGTAGTTTTAGTTCAGGAACAATGACAAATTTGACAACGGATTACAGACATTACATAACCGTGGATGGGCGGTAGGTATCGTGATCCTTCATCCATATAAATGTTGAATGCGCGATAAAGTTATTAGAAGAATGGGACTCACGTTTGTCAACGGTCGCCTTCTCTTGGTTGGTCTTGTACAAGGGAACTTCGCATAAGTGGAATAGGTTATCAAAGTGCTGCAGTTTGATAGAACGAAGTTCAGTTTAAAGAGGTTGAGATCGGTGGGACCGCACGGGTTTTGACCGCGTGGTTTAAACTTAATTCCCAGAAAACTAAGGGGCATGTAATAGAAACGCTAAATCTTGAGCTGCTCCGAGGACACTGAAAATCAGCTAAGGCGAACGCGATGCGCATTATTTCAGACCAGATTAGCTTCTCAGCTGTTGGGCTGTTCCCAGAGATTGGCAGCTGGATTGAAGGCGTTTCATCGTCAATGTAGGTGACACCGCCAGCGCGGGGTGACTTTGAATATTCTTCTTCTTCACACAGTTTTTAAGCCGCCTCTAATCGAGTGATTGGGTACTTCTGGCGTAAAACTATCAGTCAACTTGTATCATCCGTTATGTTGACAATGAAATTCCCCACGTTTATTATGCCCCCATTTGTAACCCCCGCCCCATTTTTGTGTTTAGTGTGTATATATGAACTGACGTTTGTTTGTCCTTACCACTTCACCCATTTGGCCTTGAGGTCATCCGGCCATTTGTATCTGACTTTGCACGTGTGACTGTCGCACGTTGGAGCCTGTTTGCTCCCTTGCTTTGCACTTTTGAAGTCCAAGCGG